TTCTTATGGAATACTCAATCTCTTGGTGCTGTTTTATGTTGGGTGGACACGGTTCTAGAAGAACTTCCCTGCAAGATTTAAGAATTCACAATTTTACAACGTTAACGCAGGGTAATCAAAATTTCTCAGTTGCCATCTGACCATTCTGGCAATTGAGCGGTACAGTTGCTGCCTAAATAAAATATAGCCATCCCAGTGCTGGTGGGTATCAAACTATATGGGATAAATTCAATTCAAACAAAATTAAATTTAAAACAACCAATATTGTGTACAAACTTGTTGCAAACTTTTCATGCGGAGCCTTATTCCATGTGCAAGGGCTGCAGGTATAAGAAAGTTGAAGGTCCCAAATTTTGCGAATTCTTTGGGTTGTTTCTATTCAATCTCTCTATTTCTTTGAATGCCAATTTTTTATTTTCTTTAATTTTGAATCGTATAATAAAAGATAATATTTGATACCTATATGCCAAGAATCTATAATAATTAAAAAAAATATGTGATGCGAGGCATATTTGTCTTCTTCTTTGTCTTTATCTTTTGGTATTTGGGGCAGTTTTGTTTTAAAACTTCTATTTTCTTATTCTCACTCAAATTAACACGGCCTACAAACCAGAAGAGAAAAAAGGTGTTTCGTTTCGGCTTTGTTTAAATGACCAAGTACAACAATCAAAGTGGGGAGCTTCGATGAAGTTTGTTTCGCGTTGCCAAGGCATGTGGCAAGATTAAGGGATTGGGGTTCATGAAGAGGGGTACGTTTGGGAGAAGCCAATTCTCATGGTGGATTTCCAACGGTTGGGAGGAGAAATACGGTGAAGCCTGAGCAGCAAGGCTAGGCCTTCTTCCAAAATTTTTTTGGTGCCAGCTAGGGCCTGTGCTTAACCTCCTTTAATGTAGGGCCGCTCGTTATAATGTCACTTAATTATTATAACTTTACAATTAAATATAAGGGCAAAGTACCTATCAATCTTACCTCTTAAAAATTAAGAAGAAAATCATCTTAAAACTATGTCGTTTTAATAAATTTTTATTGAAAAAGATTAAACTACCCTATTTTTAAAGCATGCATTAAGGTGATATTTGTCATTTTTCCTCCTAATTTTTTGGAGGTAAGACGGACAAACACCAACCTCTAAATATAATATGTTATTGTATACTAAATTATTTTATTTAAGATTATATATAATATTGCATATACTTAAAAAGTGTTTGATAAAACTTAATAAGCATTTATTTTAAAAGCAAATTTTCTTTTAAATTTGAAATTTTATTTGAAAAAAATTCAAAAATTACCTTTAAAAATAACTTTTAAACAAATTAAATTTTGAAAAAATTTGAATGTGTAACTTTTAAAAATTTAGTCTAAAACCAATTTAAAAGCTAATTTTTTAAATTTTTTTAAAACAAATTTTTAAATTTATGAGAGAAAAATTTATTTTTTAAAATTTACCAAACACACACATAATCATTGTAATTTGTAACATTAAACATTACTATATAATTTCTGAATTTAGATACATTGGTAAATACATGAGTTTAGTCAAAACAACTTACATAATACAACAAAGCACGAAATTGAAGATACGTGATAAAGCCCCCAAACTTTCGAAAAATGCAGCAAGCATATAGTTAGATAGGCAAAGGAGAACCCATGAATGATCCGTAGTAATCTTCTCCAGCAAGATCTTGCGCCTCTCCTTTTTCTTGACCGTCCTTTGGTTCCTCTTTTTTTTCCTCCTTCATAGGAGGACGTTTGAGCAATTCTTTGAACGTTTTGTATTTAATTCCAAAACCCAAATGATTCAGCGACAGCCATACCAAAGTGAGAAGTTCTCCACCGTTACTTGGTTGCCGTGCATGGACATTTGGGCTGCAAGAAACAGCAGCAAAGAACAATAAATGTACCCAAACTTTGCTCATTAACTCCCACGAATAAACATAACCCACCTGCTTCTTGTTCTTGAGCCAGCAGGCAAGAGCAACTGCATCAGATAATCCGGGCTTGTCCTCTTTTTCTTTCTTCAACCCGAAGAAGATCATTTTGCAGGCAGACTTCTTATTCGAGGAAAAACTCCAGGGTACTAATGATCGAGTCTCCTTACATATTTCTGTAAATTCCTCTTTCCAATCGTCCAATACAGCGGCCATCATGCTGGGCTGCACGCCTACTGCAAGGTAAAACATATAATCTGAAAGTAGCTTGCAGATTGATCTGT